AGAATTTGAAAAGAAACGAGAAACAAGTTTTCATTCCTGTACATTATAATTTTTAACATTATTTTAATTGATCAAGATAGATCAAGCACAACTTACATATGTGCTTCTTGTATTTATAAAGCAATTTGAGCACTGTACAGCACATATACACATATTTACTACATGTACATGCAATTACATGTAATTGTACAAGCATAGCACTCATTTCATACAATTTAATTACCGGTATGCTTATATATGACATACATGTGATTAATTTTTTGTTTTGCTAATAATTATTATTCAAGGTACAGAATATTGAAAAAAACTATTTTAATTTGGTTTAAATTCAATTTTTTTTTTGTTGTGTATTGTGAAAATCAACTTTTCTACATTTACATTCAACTTCTGAAAAAAATGAAGATCTGTTTTTATAAATTCTCCATTGATTTTGGGTGGTTAATCAAGTTTCATTTATTGGAGATACCATTTTATTTTTCTATAAAAAACAACAACAAAAAACTACAAAATATTGCTTTATTTTAAGTTCATATACAAAGCTTTGTACATTTAAATTTTCTCATTTGTGACGCGCCAAGCAAAAACCTCCCTTATCGAAAAATTTTGACTGTTTCAGTTTTTTATTGATTCTTGTAGAGTTTTTCTTTCTCTTTCGTTTGATGTATAACATGACATATATTTCTGTACATAAATGTAAAAAAAAATCGCATGACAAAGACGGAATATTTACTTTGACGTACAGTGTACGCGTGCGTAACTGCATGACTTTTTTAACGTATAATCGTAAAATGACGTAAAGCTTCATAATAATTTGATGATATTTATTATTATTTAACTTTTGATTTGATTTCCCTCAAAGTATCATCAATTAAGGATTTTTTCATCGTAATACTAGAAAATAAACATTCTAAAGTATATCTTTTAGAAAGGGGGGGGGGGGGGAACGAAGTGATCGTCAAGGGAAAAACTCAAGACAAAATTAAAAAATCTTCTCTTCTCTGGGAGATCTTCAAATTTATGGCGCTTTAATACAGTAAAATGGCAGAAATCTACATCATTGCAATAGTAAAAGAAAATTTGCAACATTTGGATAAAAAAGTCCTATTGTGGTAGTACTAACGAAGACACGTACGGCTTCCTACTAGCTTAGGCTACCTACTAGCTTAGGCTAGTGTGATAACCCTTAAGCTTATTCTGTAAAGCACAGAGGCTTCGGGTTCGATCCCAATTAAGCAGAGGCACTTAATTTTCTCTGTTACACTATCAAAGTATTTATTTTTAAAAAAGAAGTTCGGGAAAGTCTTTACTCCCCCTCCATTAAAAGTCTAAACAATTTATGAATACATAGAAAATATCGTCATAGTACCTGAAATTTTTTAAAGAGTGCGACAGTTTTTCTTTTTTATATCCAAAGGAAAAATAACATTTCTTTTAACACAAGTTAACTATTTGCGTGTTTCAGTTTTGAATGTTTTAATACTGAAGACTTCTTGGCTTATTGAATAGATATTCTGCACCCAAGAATAAATTGTATTTGTCTCTTGTAGTAAAGTTTGATCCTTTTCTTCTAAATATATTTCTTTTCAATAATTTAAACATCAATATAAAATAGGAAAAGGAAGGCCAGGAAAAATGAATCATATGTTAAAAATTACCAAGAAATAATGATTGAACACTTTAAAATTTGATGCACCTAATCTTCATTGATTTGATTTAAACATGCATTTATTGAATTATACAAACGCATTGGAAACAAATTTGACAACTTTCAAGTTCTTATTGTGAATGAAAGACTGATTTCATAACGACATCCAAAAAATGCATGCATACTTTTCAGTGAATCAGTATATGTAACATCCATCCCCACCCATTAAATATATGTATTTTTAAATCTTGTTAATTAAAAAACAAATCTGCAATTTATATGTATGAAGTTAATCGTGAATTAATTTTGAACCGATCATTGTATATAAGCCGAAAAACAAACCACAATACCAGAATATAAATTTCATATGAATCCCACATGTGACACGTACACTCCACAACTTCATTTCTAGGAACAGAATGTAAGGCTTATACTATGCTTCACTGTTACCTTTCTCTTAAATGCTAGTTACATTTTAGTATTGGTTAAAACACGCATGTCAAAAATAGCAACAGAAAGAAAGAGAACAGATAAAACATTTTTACATGTAATAAAAATATATTCTTCGATCATCGTAAACGGGAGGGGGCATGCATATGTCTCAGCTATGGACATTCACGCTTAAATGACGCTTAATTGATTACCTGAATTAATTTAGAAAACAAGAACAAGGCACACATCTTAAGGTGTAACTTTTGTTACTTTTTTCTTTAAATATTTAGTTGTTGTAATGTATACATTTTTTGATAAACGAGAAGCTGTATGAATGGGTTAGTTGATCAAGCACGGAATATTCAAGCTGACCAACATGTATTTTTTATGTTTGATAAATCCTTTATCATAGAAAATAAAGCGATTTGATCATTGGCTTAAGTATGACATATTCAGATACATGCATTTACATACTCCAACTTCCATATATATTGAACAAATATAGGCATATTAATTACATCGGATTAATATATGTTGCATAAGCGTCAGAACCCGGGAGTTAGGAGGGGATTAGCCCCCCTTATTTTCTCTATATTTAGATATAGATTAGATATAGATTTAGATTTAGATAAGATAAGTCATTGGACATTGCTGCGTAGGCTTAGCCACGGTCCACCAGTCCGAAGGTTCACTAGTCCGAAGGTCCACAAGTCCGAAGTTTCACTAGTCCGAAGGTTCATTAGTCCGAAGGCCCACTAGTCCGAAGATTCACTAGTTTAAACCCTAATACCAATATATTGTCCGTACATTAAACTGTTCACCCTGCAAGTCTCTTTGCAGGCCCGTAGTATTCGGGGTAGGGGGGGGGGGGGGGGCTGGTCCCCCCAAATTTTCTCTCAAGATTACCTTTACTACAGGAAAAGAACGCCCCCCCCCCCATTTCACGACAGTGTAATGTTATAAGGAAAATAATCCCCCCCCCCGAAATAGGATTTTCGAATTTGGACAACTTTTAATTTTCGGGCCTGTTAACTTTTCAGGCAGGTAAGTAAAGAATTTTTTTCAGGTTGCCCCCCCCCCTGACTTTCAAAAACGATGCTACGTGCCTGCTTTGCAATTTTTTTCTATTTTGTACCTTAACAGGTTACTACTCAAAGTTCCGTTGAGGTTCGTGAAATTTAGGCTCCAAATTACTGCGACATAAGTTTACAAATGAAATTTGAAACTTCCATCCTATTTTTGGCATATTCCCATGTTCCAATTTCTTTTTTCTATACCATTGATCGACTATGGTGGCCTTGTGGTAAGACACTTGCTCCACACATCTGTAGATGCTTATGTGGACAAGACCCCCCCCCTCCCCGGAAAAACACCCCAGGCCCCAACATACTTTAATTTGTTCATCTTCTTTCATTCATATCTAAATCCATATACATAATATATATAACGTAGAATTTACATTTTCAATACAAAAAATCATACCCACGGTTTTATAACTTCTCTTTTTATATTGTCAAATACTGAACGTCTTTAACCTCTAAAACGTTTAATTTATACTCTCATACTGCATTGATGTTTTTAAAAGGTCTTAATGTGATGAGCACCGCAGACGTTCCTACATGTACATGCAACAGCCTGATTCAGCGATTTTATACATGACCGAAATTATGTTGTTTTCGGGAATCCAGAACTCCAGAATCTTGGTTAGTACATGTAGAAAAACTATGTACAAAATAATAATGGTTGGAATGTTTTAAAACTGTTCAAACAGATTGTATGAATTTGTAACAATTTGAATTAATTATAACATTTTAGTGATGTATCATGTTTGCCATTTTTACATTGGGTGTACATGTATTGTGTATAACCTCATCAAACAGATTATGAAAAGGTCGATAAACATACGTTCAATCTGTTTTTATTCTCAATCATGAAATATTTTAGACAGTGGGACTGTAACTGACAATGTATGCGAGCATCCGTAAATTCAAGACGAAATTAGCATGAAGTATCCAAAGAACTAAAGCAGACACGCGACACAGAAGAAAGGGAAGGGAGGGGGAGGGGAGAATTTTTTCTACATTTTTTGTACAACATGAGAAGGTGTTCAACAATAAAATAAATTGAGAAGCTCAAAAGATCTTTCTTCAAAATATTCATTTTAAATCGACAACTAAAACTAATTCCTGAAGAAGTGTCAAAATCAAATATCAAATACTTTGTGTCGTACCTATAGAGAACCTATACTTTTCCATAATTAAAAGAGAAGTAATTCAGGTCAATTTTCATTGCATAGCTATTTAAAAAAAATACCTTAGATTAATGCTCCTTTTAAATTGCATGTGCATTACGATGAAATAGCTGGACATTAAGCTAAAAAAAACTATCTTTAAAAACGTGTTTGTTTGACCTTTTAAAATGAACAGACTAAAATCTTTTTTAAAACTTCCAAATAATTTATTCCAGGAATTTCTCATCCTATTAACAATTTATTGCCTTCAATCTTAATTTTTCAACACTGAAAATTTCCGACAAAAAAAATTCGACCTACCTACCAATGTAGTTTTTTTTTAACCCGAATAGGGAGAAGGCAAACAAACTTCATTTCAAAAACGGCCTAGCGGGAATTTTTCAGCCACCACTGGAAATCTTTAAAAAAATACACACTTAATTGTGAAAAGGAGATATCACACAGTCACTTGACGGAGAATAAATTTTTATAAATAAAGTACATTATTGTACATCAAATTACACCCAAGAATCTGTCTTAGTGTAAAAATAAAACAACATCCCCCTGTTCTATTGCGGAGAGTTTCACTCAAGGAGACGTTTTGACGTCGCATTTACCTTGTTGACTTTAGATGCGTCTTTTGACGTTACGTCATAATAGACATAAGGGAGGTTTTTGCTTGGCGCGTCACATTTGTTTTTAATATCGCATTAGAGTCAATATGTGTATTAATAAATGATTTCAGCTTGTTCCTACATGCTATCCTTTAATCCTTATTTTATTCCAAATCTTTGAGTTGAAAATAACCAATAAAGTCAGAATAAAATATTTTCAGCATGGCATGCTTCAGTATATAAAACGGTTGCCTGTCGTTCTTTGGGGTAGAAACTATAGGTTTGTATTTTGTCTTAATCTCTACTTTGCAAGAAGAATGGTAAATGGCATTATAGATGACCTACTCAGTAAAGGATATACACATCCGTGTATTATTATGTTTGCCCAAACCTTGGGGGAAAATGCAAGTTGGTCTTTCATCGCTTAAATTAGATATTTTAGAAAATTCATTTTTTTTTCTCCGAGAATGGTCAAGATTTTGGGAAGTGTTTGTAGCTTAGCCCGTTACATGTATGAAAATTATCCCATGTTTTCCACTATCGTTCATGCCCTAAAATACACTAACTAGACAGTGATTCCTTACTATGACCATATGGTCATATAATATACGACCATTCGTTATGACCATATGGTCATTACGCACATGTATTCACATGTGCACGCGTGCAATGCTAAAATGTGAATGAACTTGTACACATCTGGGTAAACGTGGTTAAAATCTCAAATGCATAGAGTTTTTCTTATTTACGAAGCTTAGAGGGAATATGGCACCAAAAGGGAGTTGGGGAGCGTTTGGGGAACATCTGTAACGGTCCCCGTTACAATTAGCACTAGTTTGATATTGTGTTATGTGCAGGCAACGTTGGTTTTACACGCATTGATTACCCAATCTACAACTGGAAGAACATTGAACGGAAAAGATAATTTAGCACAAAAAATATGCTTTAATTGAATATAAAATAAATCACTTAACCTGCAAATTGCTGAAATGCTTTGTTTTAAGGTTTCCACCCTTTAGGCTTTGTGTGTAGAAACATATTGTCTTTTTTCTTAAAAAAATCATTGCTCAATATTCTGATATGAATTACATGTAGATCACTTTAGAGTAGGAATACTTTTACCATGTGTATTTTTTGTAAAAATATGATTCCCTATATAGTAATAAATATATATATACCGTGGAGGTTAAATTGAACATGCAACACCGATACATGTATAAAAATTCAAATATTTCAAAGATATAAGTTTAATTAATTGTTAAAATGAAGGATCAACCCCTTTCCTTGAAGACATAGTCAAGAGAAGACAAAAATTAGATGGTTTTATTTAAAAATCTTGAGAACCAATGGGACAGAAAAGCTGAAAATATTTGAAAGCATCCAGCTGAAACGTATGTTGAAGCGTCCAGGACTAGTTTTCAAATAATGACCGGTCGCGGGCAAAAATATATATATACAATGTAGATCCAAATTTCACATAGAAATATACGCCCCGGATCAATCGATCCCGGTGCATAAAAATCTTCCATAAAAACTTCTTAAGATCCGCTGGGTTAAAAAAGCTGAAACCGAAGTGGAAGTATCCTGAAGAAGTATAGATTCTCAAAAAAACGGAGGCGTACAAGGCGAGGTCAACCCCCCACTATGAAAAAAGACATTTCTCAATTCTAAAAGTAGTATTTGTTCAAAATTTTATGGTTTATATCATCTTTAACACATGAAATCCTGTAATTCATTGCCTTATTAATTTATTAATTATTTATTTTTCACTCATGTTTTTATGACATTTGAAAACAAAAAAAAGAAAATGATTCGAACTCTTTCCATAGCCGCAAAGCTAGGTTTGGTCCACGACCAACCGCTTTTACCACTACGCTACGAAGTATACGTATTATTTACGTCTATCAGTGTGATTTAAATGAACGGGTTTGTTGAAGCGTAATTTTTTTCAGAAAAGTTCGATTCTGATATAGAATGGGTTCAGATTCCATTTTTTTTTTGGACAAATGAAATAGATTTCACATTTACGTTTAATTCCATCATTTAAGCGTTCACGAAGAATGGAGACTTGACCCATTCATGTTCAAAATTCGTTTTTTATAGCTACATTAAGCCCATTTCCCACTAAATATGCTTAACTTTCAACTTTGAAATAAAAGATTATCAAATGATAAGTCGTTCAGTTAAAAAAAATGCTTTGAAGATGACATGACTGAGAACATGATTTTAGAAAGTTATAACTTTTCTGTGAATTTTAAAAATTGAGAAACATTTTGTCTCAGAGCGGGGGATTGTACACGCCTTATACGCCCTCTTTCTTTATAAATCATGACCCTGAGACTACAATGCATGGGGAAGATTCAAATTTTGACATGAAAATAAATAGGACAAATATTCAAAAATTCTTTCAAGAACCACTGAACCAGAAAAGCTGACTCTTTTGTGAAAGCATCTTTGGGCAGCTAGCTTGGATTCGAAATTGTTCTTGACCCCAAGGGGTTGGGCCCATTGGAATGGAATCAAAGATTACATTAAAATGTATCTGAAAAGTCTTCCCAAGAACCAAGGGGCGAGAAAAGCTAGAACTAATGTGAGAGTATCCAGAGGTAGTGATGAAATCATTACCCTCATAGGTAGGGCGGGTCACACATGTAAAAGATCCAATTATTACTTTGAAATATATTTGGAAAATCTTGAATAAAAATTTCTTAAGAACCACTTAAAAGCAACCATTAGTTAATTATAATATCTAAACTGTAGCACTGAAGACTTCCCCAAAAGTGTGTATGTGAAGAGGGGGGGGGGGGGTTACCCCATCCGCACTAGTACTACTGACCTACTTGAAAAGGAAAATGGAAAGGCGTCGTTTTGTGTTAATAAATATATGAAAGATTTATTTTAAACCATCTTTATTTTTGCAATTCTCTATATTCCTGCACATCCCACTGACAACTGCATTTTTATTAAGAGAAGACATCACTCTACTTGTGAAGATACGATATAGACAGATGCTCGTATTTATTAATAGGATGAAAACTGCTTTGTAAAATTATAAAAAATAAATTGTTTTCTGGAGATTAGAAAGGATTTGACTCGGGACATTTTAATCATTTCTTCGGGAGAGGGCAAACACATTGAAAAACTATGATTATTTGAACCATTTCCAGGTTAGCTTGGAATTTCATTAAGGCGTGGCATACTCGACGTTACATAATTAACTTCTGAAAATTACACAGCTTTCCTTTATTGTTAAAATATGCATGGGATAGAAATTCAGGCAAATGCCAGTTAGTGTATCAATTAACCAATGGTGTTGTCTCGTCCGGCAAAGAGGAGGAGCTTCAGCTATCTCAATGTTGTCAGCATCAATGTAAAGATCCTGATGTTATTTATTTATCAACCAATGAGAATCTTTTCACCATTCGACAGACCTTAATTTCGTAGCACCAAAAATGTCACGCCTTACTGAATGTACAAATTAAACTGAAAATTGTTCTAAGGAAATGAAATGTCACATGTTTAATTTGATTGTATATATTTCAAATTTCAGTGCCCTGCATGCAGTAGAATTCTTTGGTCTGTCTGTAACCAAAATGTCAATGGAAAGGAACATCATGCATAGATCTACAGTGTATCGTGTCCGGCTGTGTGTGTTACATAACCTTTTTTGTTAAAGCTTTTAGATTTTTTGTCACTATACATGTACACGTATTTAATAGCATGTTCCACCTGGATTTCATGGTAAATCATTGATGTTTTTCCTTCCTGTGCAAATGTTATAAGTTTTCAGTTTATGAATGATTTGTGATACAAATTATCTTATTTTTACATGTATACAGAACACTATATTGGGTATTTTTTGACTGAATGTTATCTACTCGAGATCATGCAGTCGCCAGATATCTCTGATATATTTTATATTTGCATGTATATTACGCAGTATTTGTTCAAGGAGAAAATTTTAAATAGTGACTAAACTTTGATAAAATTAGATTCTTCGATACACTGTCTCCATAGCATTATGCAAATATAGTAAGTATATATCATTGTACCGTATTTATTTTAATAGAATAAATGACTACAATTTAATAAAGGCATGAGGGATTTGAAACCATTCGTTATTTTTCTTTTTGTGTCTCATTGACATCCATCATTCAGAGATAAGAATAGCCCCAGCATCATCACATGCACACACAGTCATTCATTTAAATGCATCCATTGTTGTATAGTAGTTTTTCCCCCATAGTAGCTTTTCCCCCCGGAAAACTGGCTATATAGTAGTTTTTCCCCCTAGGGAGAAAAGCTACTACATAGCAGATTTTCCCCCATAGTAGGGTTTCCCCCTAACGTTTTTGGTTTAGATTTTTGAAAATTGTTTATGGAAAGCTGATTAGGCTTTAAATCGATGTTTTGAACAGTGACTGAAGTACGTTACATTTATGCACTTGCATACATTAATGAACGAAAAAGTGTTTATTGTCAACTGTATAAACGTAAAGAATTTATCATACCTGTCAGGCAATTCATGGAACTACTTGGATACTATATTTAAAACTTAAATTATACAACGTACATGGATTATATATTTCAAATACATGTATACACGTGCTATTAATTAAAGAACTTTTTTTTCCCTTTTTTAACTAAATTTAATTTTTTATGTGAAGCAAAATCTTCTGACATTGTCTTTGTTATAAACATGTGTCAGCCAAAAGATCATAGTGCACGCTGATAGCGAATGCGCTTATAATGAATATTGACGCTTACAGCAAAGTGATTTTAATTCCCAATGACTTTAAAATATATTGTAATCGTAACAGATATTTAACGAATTACGGTTATAACAAAGCAAAATCCTTCATCCCTGGCACTTTGTTATAAGCGTGTCTTACCGAACTTTTATGTTGTAAGACGCCATATTAAATTCAATAAAAAAACGTGAAAAATAGAAAGGAATAGTTAGTGCCAATTTTATTAGATTTAACTTTAAAGATTTAGCTTTTTTATTGTATTTACATTATATATCTTCAGTAAACACACTGTCCCCCCCCCCCCCGCCCTTTCATTGTTTTGAAAAAGAAGTCCTAGGTTTGTGGACTAGACTAAGGAAAAGCGAATGTTCCCAAATAATTATTTCAAAGTATAATTATTTCGATAAATAAGCAACTTTGGAATTTGTATTTATTTAAATGCAACACCATTTACCTGAGCCAGTTTAAAGATAAGATAAAGAAATAGTTAATAAAATAACCTTTTAAATTGCATATCTTCATTTGTTTTCTTTTGTAGTAATTCATGATTTTTTTTATAGTGAAGTTTTTACGTATTAGATATCAACCATGGAGAAGTTCATATCAGATGTAGTTTTGAGGTGAAATAGGCTGTTTTTAGGACTGCAGTACATATGTATATGGATAATTGATTTTAAAGAAATGTAAACCAAATATTTATGCAAAAAATACATACACATGTATATATCCAAAAACACAAAAATATGTACGGTTTTTTTTTTCAGAATCCAGCAGCATTTGGATAGGAGTCTATTGGGACAAGATTTTTTTTATATTATTTCACAAGTGAAATATAATACAAAAGTTCTGTCCCACTCGTGAAACCAATTTCCTTATCGTAATTTAATGGATTGATTTCATAACAAAAAGAAATGTCAGTCTACTTAATTACGTGTCGGTGATAATCAATGTCTTTTCAAATACGCATGTATTGCGAATTATTACAAAGAATGGTCCTCCATAAACTTAACCGGAATGAAAAAAAGGGGGAAAATCTTCTATATAGTAGGTTTTCCCTGGGGGTAATCTGGCTATAAAAGAGGGGAAATCCCACTATATAGCCATCTTTCCATGGGGGAAAATCTACTATATAGCCATTTTCCCGGGGGAAAAAACTACTATATAGCTATGTTTCCGGGGGGAAAGATGGCTAGGGGGAAAGGCTACTATACAACACCATTCCTAATCTTGGATAAAATCAGTAATTTGCAGAGTTCCAGAAACGAACTCGCATTTTTGATATTTGACACACAGTAACGCATACCCTTCAGCTTAAGAACATATAAGTGGACCATTTAAATATCGGGAGGAGGGCATATACAAGTTAAACTTTTAACATTATACATATACATGTAATGTTACAAAAAATTCTATGAAGTTTGTACATTTTTTGAAAACTTAAAAAATCGCGGAATCTCTCACTGTCTCCCCCCTCCCTCCCTATCACATATCCCGCTTAAATTAATCAGGAACAGATGAAAACTATTTTCTTTCTCACTCATAAAGTTATCCCCCATACTGCTATTTGCTGTATCTTATGCCAAGATTCCTATAATATCCATTTTGTTGCACTTACAACATTCGCAAAACCCGTATTTATAATTTTCTAGTTTCAAAACGTTTTCAAATATATATGAAAATTATACTATTTTAATTTGAAATGCTTCTCTCTTGTAATAGTGGGGTTTTTTGGTGTGGAGGTAGTATATCTTTTTTACTGATTTCTTTCCCATGTACAGTTGATAAATGAGTGCACAAGCGTCGGAAACAATTTAAATTGGGTGAGGGGGTCTTCTGTCACAAAACTTCTAACGGTCCTTGATACACGTGAAGGATCATCAGAATATCAAGTCTAACATGGGTCATACTATTTGACACGGCGGAGTGTGCTTACATGTAACATTCTTTTCCTGGAGGCATCTGTTGCCGGTGTAAAGACGAATAATGACCCCCATCGAATAATGACCGGGGGGTAATTTTTCAACGACAAAAAATGACCCCCACCCCCCCCGTAGAAAAAAATCATTTTTTGTAGAAAAAAATCATTTTTTGTAGAAAAAGGGTCTTAGGGGGTCATTATTTTATATGTAAGTCCTATAAAATAATGACCCCCATTGAAAAATGACCCCCTTTAAAGTGATACAAAATATACAATCTTTGATATCTTTTTTACAGCGAAACTAATTTTTACATTTTCTGTAACCAGAAAAATACAAAAAGTCGTATGAAATAATTAAGAGATTCACGTAGTCTTTCAATGCTAAAATTGTGTTTGAAAAGAGATTCTTTAATTGTTAAGTAAATAAAATTTCTTTTTAATATTCCTCCTTATAATGTTTGCTTAAAGAATGATATTCCAGTTGTTTTTAGAAATCAAACCATGCAAAAATCAGGTTTAAATACTCTTTAATAGGAAAAATTAAATTTTCCGTCATTTCAACTTTTAGTTTTTTTAAGTTTGGCAAATCCTATTTGACAATGAAAGTGGAGGAAATTTTTATCCCCCCCCCCCCAAAAAAAAAGAACATTACGTTAAATCAAAACAAAAAAAAATAAGTGAAAAGCAAAAATATAAATAAAACTCTATATCTTTCAATAATACTGAAAAAGGCTCTAAATAAGATATTGAAATGAAGTTAAGCCTTCACACAAGTACTATCATATCATAATTTACTTCGCCATGATTAAAGCATACTTTAAATGTTGGTGGAGTTATACTTGAAAGTATTGTGGCAAAGTAACAGTTAAAAATTAGTAGAAAAGTAGTTTATTTTTAGCTTATTTTTAATTTCTTCTTATAGAAAAATAAAGGTAGGGTGTTTTTTTTGTTGCTTTTGTTCAATAGCGACTTCCTCCGAAATACGAAAGGGGGTGGGGTAAGTATAAAACCTAAAAATATGCTCTGTAAAGCTATGGGCTAGTATAAGATACACAGTCATTCTAATGCAAAAACTATACATGTAGACATAAACTTTTGATTAAGCACACAGTATTGATTACATTTCTTTTAACGTAGAACCTACTTCGTATGGCATCATAACTGGTATATGTGTTAAACCTGTTCTAACCCATTAAGACGTTATAATTAATTCAATGCCACTTTTTCCCGTACTTGACAGCTTCAATAAAAATGGTAGAAAATACTGCATTTTGAAATTCACAGAATTCAATCATGCCAACATAATCTTAATTCAATTCATATATTTTTCGGTTTATAATGCTTAATGGCAATATATTTCTTAAATAAGAAAAATATGTAGGCACCTTTTATTTACTAGATCTAGACCTGAAGTTGACAAACCCAAGACTATCTAGTGTATTGAAATTACAATGTACATACAACTTTCGTAATAATTTGAATGGTATGTAACCATTTTGAAGGAATGCATAAATCGTAAGAAATATTTACTTGCCAGCTATATATAGTGTAATATATTGATGAAATGTGTCTAAGATGTACGTATTGTAGATCGTTTGATCGTGTATACATTTTTGTGATATCTATAATGAAATGATGTGCATTCCTTTTAACAATTATTTGTTACCTAGTCATATTCTTGGTGTTTGATTACAATTTTTCTATTAAATATGATCTTTTTAAAGTAAAAGTACAATTTCTGATAAATATTTAATCTGAAAGTAACCCCAAACAGTCATTTAATTATTAAATCCCGTGTAAGTGCAAAAAGGTCAAGAATATGAGTATCAGGATATAGCCTATCTTTCATTAGTTAGAGGGGAAAGGTATATATTTTAATCATTTTTTGTAATCATTTGGCTATGTTCTTGAAGATTGAAAACATTGTTACAAAGACTTCTAAAACATATTTACAAATATAGGGTAAATAATTGACTAAAAATAATAGAGTTCATTAGACTTTTTTTTAATGGTGGACTTATCTTTTATGTTAATTGAATAAAAAAGAAATTATTCTTGATAAGATATTGTTTAATATTATTCAGTTCAAAAAGTTTATAAACGACGAGGTTTGAAGAAGTATTTTTGTGATTTTTTAATATTCCCTTTATGACAAGTACCCCTAAAATATTTGAAAATGTGAAGTCGCATTAAGTAAATACCATACCAAATTTCACAGCCTGTTCTAGATTAAAAAACAAGGAAACATATCATGATATCTTTACTGATTGATAAGCAAGTACTAATTTATCATTTTGAAAAGTTTGAAAATCTTGTGACAAAGTCTTTTCCGACATAGGTTCTACCTTAATTCTTGTTTTACTCCACCCTTTTACTCAATTCTGAGTATATTTTTCAGAGAATGTAATATGAAAATCAGAACAAACATTTTCATTGTTGTAACGTCTTCTTTATAATGTATATTAATATGAAAAGTTAATTGAAAACCATTTCTTTTTATGTCCCCGTAATCGAAGATTCGGGGGTATATAGTTTTATCGTGTTCGTCTGTATGTCCGTCTTTCTATCTGGCGGTTTGTTTGTTCGCAAAAACCTTAACCTTTACCATTACTTTTCATTTATTGGAGCTATGACTTTCATATTTAATATGTATACTCCTTGTGACAAGACCTTACTTTGGGTACCACCAAATTTGACTTTTTGACCTTTACCTTGGAGTTTGTCCCATTTTACAAAAAAATGCCAAATTTTTACTTTGGCCATAACTTTCAAACGGTAGATACAAGTACTCTTATACTTCAAATATGTAGTTTTTGGCATTACCTTTCATTGGATACTAAAAACCTTGACCTTTTGACCTTGACCTTGGAGTTTTCCGTACTTATGATTTTTTTTCCTTGGCCATAACTTTTGAACGGTAAGGGCAAGGGTATTCATACATCACATATGTAATCCTTGTTACATTAAACATTTTCTTAAGAAATCATCAACTTTGACCTTTGAGTTTGACCTACCTTTTTCCTAATTTGCAGTTGTATTTCTTGTGAGAAGACCCTACTTTGGGTAACAATATATTTAAATTGCATTTAAGAAAAGTTTAATCTTTGCTATGTTGCCATACAGGAGCATAGCTGTTTCACAAACACATCTTTTTATATATGAGGATTTGCGGATAAGAGATGGATACCTCAAAGCGTAACAGACAGACGGACGGACATCCCGATCACTATATACCCTCCCGCTTTTCGAGCGGAGGATATAATAATATATATTATACTGATGATTTTTTCTGTCAGTTCGATGATTTCCACCATCAAAAAACAATGTTTACCTAACCCTTAAGGCTTGATAAATCTTTTACTCCTTTAGATTCTGAATCATTGCATTTACCTTTAAATATAGGTATAAATGTATAATGTTATGAGATCAACATATCAGTTTATTCCCAATAAGCTCAGGTGAGCATTTTGGCCAATATGCTTCTTTATCCAATTTTTTTTGCCCCCTAAACATTTTAGCTTTAATGTACAGGGAGTCATTTTTCTACGGGGGTCATTTTTCTTCACGTGGGTTCTGCAAATTTTTAAGGAAGTGACACTTTTTCTACGGGCAAAAGGGTCATTTTTCGACGTTGAATAATGACCGGGGGTCATTTTTCGCTGTCGAAAAATGACCCCCGGTCATTATTCGAAGGGGGTCATTATTCGTCTTTACACCGGCATTACAAGATCGAGAAGTTCACTCTAAATTGAAATATCGGTATACAGTAATATGCCTTGTGTTTTGATGAATTTAGTCGATGTCTGAATGGAAGGAGTGATGTCTTTGGAGAGATTACATCCGTGTGTTTGAAATTCTCAAGTTTAGGCATTGATGTTCGTACCAAAAAATTCTGTCACCATTTTAAATTCCTTATAAAAATTTTATCCCCTGTCTCCTTCAACAATAACATAATATATTAGGCATATCCAGGCTGATCAAAACATCTTCAACATGTTCAATGCCATTCACAATTAAATCAATTGACTAAAAATGATCAACTCTATACAAATCTTCACAAGTGTCGTGGTGATACATAGATCCGTCGTAAATTCGTTTTGGAGAACGTCTTCGACGAAGCACTGCGAGACCTTCAATACTTTCAGAACACAGAATATATGGGTCTTTTTTGCATCCTCATAAGATGAGAGATAAGCTTCGTTTGTTTTTAGAGACTCCAGAGTTTCACAGTGCCTTGAGTCATTCTCTGACCTTCTGCAGCAGAGATTATAGTTTTTGTCTGTAGAGCTTTGCTAAGGATATCGCTATAATGGAGCAACTGTTCACCCAGCAGACAACCAATAAGTTAAAATAAATAAAAATATAGTCACAACGCCTCTTATTCTTCATCTCATCCCTGATACTTTTACATATTCCATCAATTCCTCCCATACTCCCTTTAGTATTTCTTTGTATTCAGTATAGCACTCTGGGGAGCATCTGCCTGACCTGCCCTTCTTGTTTGACAAAAAAAAAACCCATAAGACTTGAATATTGAAATTGTTTGATGTGGCCATCAGAATGCCGAGTTATTGTAGTGTCAATGTGCACACTTGGTATTATAGTATTAAAAAACACTGCTAAATCTGTAGAGTGAAATAATTATAAGCACCATTTTGACTTCCTGTCATTGTAAATTTTCAATGCTTCCTGGATTTGAATTGATAAACGCAATATTAATATGTGTTTACGTTGTTATACATTGCAAATTGTAGGATTATTTTTCATATTTTCTTGTTCCAATATTAAAAGTACAAAGATCTGCATCTTGAACAGGTAAGAATTAATATCGTGCATCTGAAACTTTCACTTGAACTACATGTTCAAGAAGGAATTCAAAATCCTAACGCTATATGTTAGTGATCTTAATTAAGTGCTTCATAATTTGTGTTGTTTAATTCCATTTATTTTTAGTAACAGTGTGTTCTACAGGAAATAAATTGCATTATTTTTTCCAGTCATTTTTTAAAGGATTATATTCATTTAGAGTAGAAAACTATTGTTTCATTAATTTTAATCTATTTTCAGAACTGTGACGGATTCTACTTTCTGTTGTGCTAATTTTTACAAAGACGAAAAAGGGAATTGTAGCTGTAAGATGTTGATTATAATAGCTGATTGCATTAAATTTATCTTTTCTGGAGATTTTTTTCTATCAATATCTAAAAAAGTAGCTAAATTCTTTCATTTCATGTTTTATGCACGTGTTGTACATATTGTTTGTTAGAATTTTTTTCAATAATTTTACCAGCTAATTTTCCCACTTCAGTTTAATTTTGCAAAATCATTTTAAAATCTATTTAATGATTGGAAATGGATTTTGTATTTTTTTCCGATACGTCAGCTCATTTCATTGTACATGTTGTACATGTATCAGTCATGATTACAGTATGTTCACCGGGATACTATGGGGATACATGTGAAAAAATTTGTCCACGTGGTACATTTGGTCAAGATTGTGGTGGACAGTGTAGGTGTTCCCCCGAGGATTGTGACCACGTGACAGGATGTCCACAGTTAAGCCAAGATGTAACCACACAGACAATCACAGGTATAAGCTACGTGTACATATTTAAAAAAATAATATACCCATTGTGTTGATAGCAAGCTGTTAAAAATATTGACGTCTGAGATTTTTTCTGTCTTTTTCTATTACAACAGAACATCAAGAGAATAAAACAACCACAAGCTTAATATTTGGACTACCTGTCTCTAAAATAAAGGATGGCAACCCATCAGTAATATCACCAACAATAAAACCTCATGTATCAACATTTACCAGCACAAATCTGTACTCTTCTAAGATTCAAACAACTTCATCTACTTCTGATATTACCAATCTGTACTCTTCTAAGATTCAAACAACTTCATCTACTTCTGATATTACCAAGGCGGGGGAGTTTAACAGTAATTATTTACTATCTGGTGTCGGATTGCTGTTAGCTATTTTATTAATTGTAATCATTTTCCAACTCCGTTTGAGATCAAAATCTTCGCAAAAAAAGATATCAAGAAGAGAAAAGAAAAGTGACACCGAAAGAAATGTATCCAATGATTCTGAAAGTATGCCACGTGAGAGTGATAAAAAGCAATACAGCAGGTTAGAACAGGATAAGGACAGCCGCCATGTCTATCAGAAGGCTGAGTCTGAGTATCAGGAAATTGATCAATGTTTAGAAATGTTGGAGGTTTCATCCAGACCAAAAGAGGGTTCTTTATCAAAAGAGGAGTCTTCGGGAGAAAGTAGTTATTTGGAAAATTATTTAGAACCTGTTATTTCAAAAGTAGATATAGTGAACAGCAATGACAGACAACGACATTCTTACATAGAACTTTTGGATTCAGACAAAATCATAGTGAATGAAAACGTAATTGATGGACGTATTGAAAATACTAGTAATTCATCGTCCTCATACGATGATGTAATGACTGAATGTTCAACAGTTGCAACGGCTAATGGAAATAATGATACGTATCTTGATGTTCAATTTTGATGAGAAGTCAAACAGGAAATAAGATAAACTCAATTTGTAACTTTCTCTAAACTGTCTGTAAAATCAACTCATCAACTTGTGCTATAAGGTTTTTTGATTACATATTTGATGCTTATTCGCTATTGTTGCTTTTTTTTATCCAAGGTGCTCTTGAAATACTAAGATAAACTATGGATACTTGTAGTTATATATCATATGAGGATATGAAATAGATTTGTTTTTAATTATGGGATGAATTGATCTTCATTACTATGTTTAATGATTGACTTCAAATATAACGAAATAATGCAGAACATTATTAAGCTAAACTAGTGCTTATTGTAACGGGAACCGTTACAGATGTTCCCCAAACGCTCCCCAACTCCCTTTTGGTGCCATATTTCCTTTGAGCTTCATTAAATACGACAAATTCTGCACATTTTTTACTTTAGCAATGTTTTCCCAGAAGGATACTTATTATATGCAAATTTTAGCATTGCACCCGTGTGCATTTGAATGCCTGCGCGTTATGACCATATCATCTTGTCTACACTATCTATAATTATATTTTTATGTACTACATATTAAAGCATTCAGTCCAAAAATATTAAAAATCACTCATTCAAGTGTATTTTTAATTTCACTCTTTCCAAATGCACGCACATGCGTGCACGTGCATGATGACCATACCTCTTTATAGGAGTCCTGAATATTTATCTATGTTCTAAATCCCATCCTGTTTGGTTGAAAAACAAGGGAGTTATAGCCATTTCAAGTTTAAGCCAATCAGATTGCAGCACACGTGCATGCGTGTGATTTCTTGATTTTTTTTGTACATTATATTGCTGGATATCCTAGTATATAACAATGTTTTAAATTTCAAAGCATTTCGTCAAAAAACAAAGTTGATGCAGCCATTTAAAGTTTCAGCCAATCAGATTGCAGCACACGTGCATGTGCGTGATTTCTTGAAATTTTTTGTATATCATATTGCAGGGTATTCTAATGTTTGACTATGTTTAAAATTTCAAAGGATTTCGTCAAAAAAAAGAGATATTGATATTTTTATTTCAGCCAATCAGAGCGAAGCTCACGTGCACGCGCGTGAGTTCGTGCTAATATGAGAGTATGTTGATATTAACACTATTAATATATCTTTATGTAAAGAGTTTTAGAGGATTTCATCAAAAAATGTAAAAGTTATGGCCATATTAAGTATATCAGTCACATCACTCACTTCCCGCACCCGCACGTGCAGGCGTATGCGCGCAAAATGACATTCGTTCTGCACACCTACAATACACACCCATTAACCCTAAAAAGGTTTTAACATAGTTTGGTCAACAGTGTCTGAGAACACTTCCGCACAAAAAAGTACCGGAGAAGAAATAAGAAGAAAAAAGAATAATTATAATACAATAATAAAATAAGAAACAGAGTAAAAACAATATGTTCACAAACTCCGTTTGGGTAACATAATAAAGTTAACAACCTTGTAAATTTTTGTACAGTCAGCAAAAATTGGTCGAGTATTTATCTGTCCCCCGGCATTACTCTTACCGATTGGATTATTTTAAGTGATATTTATTTCTAAACCCCATAGTATTACCTCTCACATTGGCCACTCTTCATCCTTGAAGAAGAGTAAAAAAGATGTTATTATTGTCTCATCTATGTTCATATACAAGGATTATTATCAAATCCGTCTTATTTCTAAGGTTTTAAGGTAATTTCCAAGTCTACCTGGTCGTTAATTAAATCATGAAACTCAAAGTCATTTTTTTTAATCTCAAAACAAATATTCATGCATAGTAATTAAAATTAATTTTATTTTAAAATACATGTAGTTCAAAAAGGAAGGACCATAATTCCATGAATTTCTTTGTAAATACATCTATTTTAGATACAGATTTCTAGAAATTCCTGTATTTAACATTATAGCTGTACTGATTCGTAAAGCTTAGTTCGAAAGAGTACACATCACGTCTATAAATTAATTGGAATGTGCATTCAACTGCTCAGTTAAAATCATCTGATGCAAGTTAAAGCTGAACATGATTCGTAAAAGGCATAGGTCCGCCATTTTTGTTACCGGTTCTCGCTACTCTGCAAACCCGTATATAGAGGCAAAACATGGTCTCTGTTCAGTGAAATCAGTCGACATCGGTGAAAACGGACGTATAGTATACAGGACTAAGTAGCAAGAATAATTACATAATACTTCGTCTACTGCAGAAAAGTAAGATACCAAATAAATTTACAATTATTGTTGTACAGTTCAATGCAGTATACAAACAACACAGATACATATAACGGCAAAAAATGTAAACAAAGGTAATGCAAGATAACCAGCACTAACACGTGTCGCCATTACACGACGATATCCGCGACAATAAAGCAGTCAGGTGTAACGAATGTAACGAGTATACCGTAGTGTTGATGTATCGTAGATAATGATATCGAAAATGGCGTATGCCTATTTACGAGTCGTGTTCAACTTTAAATTAACTAGTGGTCAATGTGTTAAAGAAATTACAATGTTGTTTAGATTCAAGGTTAATCTACCTTACACTTTTCATATAAATACGCATGGTCAGTCTTAGAATACTACTAAAGATATACTGCACCATGTTTATTTCATTTTTATAAGATAAAAATATTGATGTTGTTTCCTGTTGTGTTGTCGAAATGCAGTTTTTCCAGTAGAAAATGTACAAAAAGTAACGTAACATACAGTAAGTAACTTTGGACGAACTATAATTAAAGTAATAATGAATTCCCTACCTTTTCAGCTTAGCTACCATTCTAGTCTTTCCAAAGAAAATAAAATAAATCTCGAATATGTTTTCCAGGGTTGCGAGAAAGACCAGTGAATATTAAAATTCTACAGAACAGTACCACACTAAGTAATTTTAAGAAGGTACCCCGAGTACTCATTTCTTCTACTGATCTTATTTTTTTCACCTCATGCAAAAAAACTACAGTTATAAGTTGCTTTAAGTACGACCAATGAATTACATGTACGCCATTGTCACTGTGAAACCCACTCTAGATTCTTCAGCCTGAACTGACACATACATCCTTCCTCACCCCACCTCTCTCTCTCTCTCTCTCTCTCTATGCCCTCCAGCGTAGAAACAGTCAACATTGCTTGACGACGGGTGATGTTCCAAAAAATAGTGACTGCGCAGAATTTATTCGCGCACGGTTCACTGTTATATGTATTTGTATAAAACATTCAGTATAATATAATAAATATAGCATTAAGTTGAGTGAAGCATTAAAAATTTTCACCCCTCGAAAACCATTGTCAACATCGGCTGCGCCTCGGTTGACAATGGTTTTCTTGAGGTGAAAATTTCCAATGTTACACTCAACTAGATGCAATATTAATTTTATATATTATGATATTGATTGGGATATTTAACATAGGTCTAATTTATATCCTTAGAACAAGTTTTAAACCTTTCTTCTACAAACTTTGCCAAAAAGATTTGTCAAATAAGTCAAGATAAAATTTATATCATCTTTCGCCTGAAAATAACACATTTTGACCAATATTTCAAAATTAACATCACTGACCCCAACTTTCTCTTTCATTGTATTAAAGAACTCGATACTTTTGACTGATCAGCACTTAAGTCGTAAAAAGCTTGATTTCTTTCCTTTTTTAGTTTTTTTAATAACACAAATACGTTACTTTTTAGTGCAAAAAGGTTACACAATAATTTAAGCGCAGTGATTTGCAAGATTTGTTCAATGATAAATATTATTTAAATTATTTTGCGTAAAATAATATCATATTTACTGCCATAGTTACATCTCATAAAATATGATAAAGTTTAAAGTAATTTGCAAAAGAGTTAAAAAGAGATGGGTGAAGGTAGCGTGCAGAAAGCCCAGTAGCTTCGGATATACCGTATAACGGGTATTTTCTGCGGTTGTCCAGTTTTTGCGAAATTTTGCGGATAGAAAAAATCCGCAAAAATTACAATCGCAAAATATTTTTGATATGACTTCAGGTATTTTATACATGCAAGCTTAAATATAACATATGCAAGTAAATAAGTGGTGTGTCTGCAAACTCATGCGTAAAAGTGTCTTCGTTAGCGATAAAATTCGGATATCTACATACGAAATAGGCAGTTTTTCTCTCTTATTTTCCACTTTTCAATCCTGTCAATTTTCTTGAGAAGGTGATTAAAATAATTGCTTGTGTTTACAATATGGCTTAATTGTCTCGTGAATTTCATTCAAATCATGATACGCGTATTTTTGGGGTGGCTGATTATGCAACTGTAAAATTGTCTGTTTTAGCTTATGATGAAAATCACGATTTAATGTTGATAGCAATTAATCTTAATTAAGTGTACATGTATTTTAGATTATGGCTTGGAGACATTAATTATCATCATCTTTATATCTATTTAAATTATTTTTATACCTCATACATAAAATCAACGTCTGCGGTGTTAGAATAAAGAATCTAATTATTGCTTGAGTGGACAAAAGTCTTGAGGAAATTTTTTCGATAAAATGTATTCTTTTATATAAGAAACAATAATGTGGTATCCATTGGGTTCGAACACGGGCAATAAAAATCCAGAGTTGCAATCTCTATTGAGACTAGCACGCTAACCACTACGGTACTCAAATCCTGAAGAATTGTGGCATTTAAATAATGTTTGTGATATGACTATTGATTTAAGGGACTTCAAGTATTTCCCGAAAAGATACGAAAGTTATGTCATAAAATTATATTTTTAAGGTACAGTGGATCATTGCTCCATAATTTTGAAAAACAAAATATGAAGGTTTGTATGCAAACTTTGAGGATTAACTTTCCAAAAAATGGAGAGAAGACCCACTCATATCGAAAAATAGTGTTTTAGTGTGAACAAATGACTCGTTTTGTCCTCTTTCGTGTGTGTATAATAAAGACCTTTCAACTGCCGCTAGTGTTTCGTGTTATGGACGATAAATCATTGCGAAAACTTGTTTAGAGCAGGTCCTAGGTATCTAACTGTTGATACGCAAGTCCGTTTTAAGTGTTTCTTTGCAGTAAGTAGAATCAAGTCGTTTTAAAATTTAGCACTAATGTTAAATTTATTTACTTTATAGTTGCGGAAACAGTTTGATTATATATAAATAAAATTTTAATGAAAGATTATTTTTTATAATCTTAGTTTATATAAATAAGTAATT